GCTATCCTATCTATCTTCTATCTATCTATCTAGCTATATATCTACCTATCTATCTTCTATCTATCTTCTATCTATCTATCTATCTATCTATCTATCTATCTATCTATCTATCTATCTATCTATTTCTCTATCCTTCTATCTATCGATCTATCTATCATCTATCTATCTATCACCTATCTAGCTATCTATCTATCTACTATCTATCTATCTATCTATCTATCTATCTATCTATCTTATTCTTATCTATCTATCTTCGATCTATCTATCTATCTATCGATCGATCTATCTATCTATCTATCTATCTATCTAGCTATGTTAAATAAATTTGTCCTTGTTTAATTTAGGAAACAACTGCCTAAACCATATGTTCAATAAATTATTAAACATTTTTAGCATGTAAGTAATAATTTCAATAACACATCATATTCTTTAATAAAACAAAACGCAATTTGTTTATACTTGAATTTGGATTCAGTCAGTGTTTAAATTTAATATTTCCAAATAAAAACAAAAACAAAATTTATGAATCACATTTCAATCAAAATGTGAAAACATCACTTTAATTGTCAACACTCTTCTTGTTAAAAAAACAAAAACACAACAAATAAAGATGCATATTTGAAATTCTAATTTAAGTGATGACAACAGTAACAAAATCTCTCTCCTTTAACAAATTTAGAAACAAAACTTGAATTCAAATAAATTATACAATTTTCGTTTGTTTTCGTATTTTTTGTGATGATATTGAGATGTTTAAGCAAATGTTTGTAAATTGAATTTAAAGTAAAATATATTAACAAATATAAAAGTGTAAAAAGTACTTTGGAAATTAAGCTTGAATTAAAAGATTATCACAGATGAAAAGTAAAAGAATACATTACTTATCTTCTACATAATACTTTCATATAAAATTTCTCTTAAATGAATAGGATTAGACCATGTTGGATTAAGTACCACATAGAAATACTTATATCTACATTTCAAGCTTTTATTCGAATATTTGTTTATTGTACGTAATTCTTTAACTGTTGCTTCTTCTTCTTCTTTTACAAAATACGTGACATGATAATAAATTTTTTATCCGTGTAGAAATCAAACAATTGTTTGTAAATACTACAAATGTCAATTATGACCTAATATACAACTACAACAAAAAAAAAAACAAAAATAAACAATCGTTAAAAACACCTTTATAGTTGAGCAAAAAACAACCGTAAAGAGAAAGAAAAAGTACTGTATATAAAAACTATAAAAATATGAAAAATAAAAAAAGTGAAATTACTGTTGAAAATTCTATTACATAAAAGTTTTAATAAATAAAATAAACATATATTACATATTTAGTGATTAATTTATGTATATTTATAATGGACCGATTTAGCTGATTTTAAATAACAACTTTCGAGAAGAAACCTAAAAAATTATTTAAGATTTTGATCCCAAAGATGTGTGGGAACTTCAAAAAATGTATATCAATAGGCATATGAATATTTATATGTACATACTTAAGAAAACATACTTTCCATCGTATCTTTAAAAGCTTATATTCTGAAAAAAACTTTAAAATTCATAAAAATTTTGAAATTTTTTAAGAAGTTGCAACAAAAAGTATATAATTTTGAAATTTTTTCGAACAGAACAAGGAATTATTTAAAATTTTTTATAAACCTCATGACGTAGACGGATTTTTAAAATCTTTCGAACATAACTTCGAATTTTCGAACATCATATTGTGTTGTCATCATCATCAAAATCATTCATCTTCATAAGAACATTGAATAGTTCAAAATCTTGTTTAAGCAATTGAAATTTTCAAGTAGAATTTTATTAAGTGTTTTTTTACAATTTGTTTCTCATTTCATGAGTTTCATCAAACATCTTTTTTTTTTTTTTTTTTTTATTTAAAGTACATGCTTGTATAAATGTTTAAATCTTAAACCTGTTCAATATATTTCTGACTAACCAAACAAATAAAATATAAATAAATAAAAATAAAAAACAAATTAATTGAGTGATTCATAGAATCAAAACACTCGAATGAGTTCATAAAACCAAATATTACATTTTTAGTGTGTGTTTTTTTTCTTGTGTTCAATATCTAAAGAAAAATAAGTTTTTTGTTTGATAAAAATTAAAAAAAAAAAAAAATAATCAAAGAAAATTATGCAGGATGATTAGAAATTATTGATAGCGCAACAACCAGCAAATGCAAAGAAGGCTTTTTTTAAAATATTGTTTGTATTGATAAAAAAAGTTTGTATTGTATTTTTTAACGTTAAAAATTTGTTTAAATAATTTCAATGAATAGTTTATAGTAGCTGCTGTTATAATTTACAAACCCTTTAAATTGCCTGCTTTAAAAAATATCCAACAAAATTATAAGAATAATAAAAAGAAACTAAGAAATTATTAACACAAAAAAACCAAATGCTTAAAAAAATAGTTTTTTAATTTAAACCTAAATATATTTAATATTAATTATTTATTAAAAATTTTACAGTTTCGCCACTAAATGATCTGCAACAGCAACAATCACAACCTCAACAAACCCATAGAACAACTGCCAAATTAACAAATACTACAAACACTACAACCACCAATAATTTAACAACAACAACCGCTGCAACAACGACCAATGTCAAATCGTTGATTAAAAAATCCGGTAGTTCTTCATCCACCCAAAGTTCCAATCGTAAAGATAGTTTTGGTTCTCGAGATTCTTTAAACGATATACTTTCGGAAACTGGTTTGCCCACGGGCAATGTAGCTGCTCAGCGTAAATCTTTGGAAAATAAGAATTTAGATTTAACAAATGCCTCCGATGTTGCAGCTCGTTTGGCCCTTAAGAAACAACAGTTACATATGCAACAACAACAGCAACAGCAGGAGAGTAAAACGATTGCATCGTCGATTAGTAGTAATAATACCACCACATCAACTACCTCGACTTTAATAACAACAGCCACTTCCTCCTCCTCCTTATCCAGTGAGTTACGCAAGAGTATGGAAAATATGGATGAGAAAACAACAGCAGCAACAAAAACGACACCACCACCAGTACTTAATAAAAAGCCTTCAGTGCCTGTTAAGAAAACAACCACAGTGACCAGCATAACAGGTGAGTAATAGAGTTTTTATTTTCATATCACCAAATAATCCGAAATTTCCGTTTGTAATTTGTATATAAGAGTGACAGTAATTTGTAAAATGAGAACAAAGAGAGACTTTTTATGAGTTCTAGGCGTAACACACCTTTTTCCGTGTGGCTCCTATGCTGCTTTCAGACAGAAGTACAGACGAACGGAATGTAATAAGAACCCTTTGAGAATCTAGAACCAATATCTTGATATGTTACATACAGAATGACAAAATCAATATACCCCCATCTTTTTTGATGGTGGTTATAAAAAGTACCAATTAATTACAAAAGTACTTTGTAAATATAGGATTTTATATTTAATTTTCACTTTAATCTTTCACTTTCAATAACTTATGATGTTATCTTACACTTGCAGGCAACATCTTATCGGGGATCAAACAAAAAGTCAAAAATGTCGAAAGTAAATTAACCACCGCAGCATCACACGACTACGCCGATGGTGTAGGCAGTAGTAAACTATCGCCCAGCTATGCGAGCGATTCGGGCAGTGGAGGTGTTGTAATGAGAAGAGCCGCCACCATAGCCGTAGAAGATACAGATTTTGATCGCGTTGAACGCGGTTCAATATTACCCGATATGCGCGCAGGACGCGTTAAAGCGCCAAAACGTAGACCTCCATCGGCGGCCATAAATGCTATAGGCGAAAGCAATAACAATTCTCTATATGTCAATGGCAATGGTAGTGATACCACACAGAGTGGTGATGATCAATTAAAATCCGATGATAATTCAACGGGAGAGGAGCAGTTAGCCAAACCAAAACCTAGAGAATGGGAAAAGAAAAAGGCACCCTGGATGGAAGAGTTAAAAGCATCACAGGTTAAAAAGAAGACATCTCCAAGTGTAAGTGATGGGGTAACAGCCACAAGCGATAGAAGTTCGAAACTATTAAGTGAGGAGCTGAAAACAACAAATAATGTCAGTTCACAGGTGACCAGTTCAATGCAAGCCACAAATTCTAGCACCTCAGCCTCCTCTGCCACGACCAGCTCGACAAAAGTGCAATCATCATCGGTTTCATCCACCAGCATTATGCAACAATCCATGATAGTGGAGAGTAGCAGTAGTACTACTAGTAGCAGCAGTAATACCACAGCTAAAACTCTAAGCGAAGCCATGACTAAAAGTTTAAGTGCTAAATTAGCCAATGATGTAATGGCGGCTTCGAATAATACCTCCCTTAATAACAGCTCCTCTGGCCATGTGGTGGACGATGTACGGGCACGACCCAATAGCCTGTCAATACGTAATCGTAGTGCTTCTCCCTCAATGGCGGCCACACGTAATATCTTAAAACCAAACTCTGCGGCGGCCAACACCACCGCCAACAACTCTGCCTCACCAGCTGAAGCCTCCAGCAGTAATACCACACACCATTCAAGCTCTACGAGCACTACACAATCATCCACAGTTGCCAAATCTTCTAATCTAAATAGTTCTAGCAATCATGTGCTAAATAATTGTGGTGCCACTACCACGGCCGGGTCACAACATAAAATTGCTGAATTGGAAACGCGTGTGGACAAATTGGAATTGTTGGTCCATGCTCAACAGCGTACAATCGATGAACTTGTACGTACATTGCGAGAAGAAACGGATCGCAACAAAGTCTTACGCGCTGAACTGGATAAATATGCACAGTGCGTTACGCAAGTTTAAGAAAAATTAAAAAAAAACAAAACCTAAAAACTGAGAAAAAAATCACTTAAATATTTTTTTCTATTTTTATGTGCGTAGAAAAATTATGTTTAGAGTATTTTATTTTATAGTTTTTATTTTGAACACTGTTTTAAGCATTTTATATTGTGTGTGTGTGTGCGTTATTTTCTAATTAATTATTTCCCCCCTTGTAAAGTGAAAGCCAGTGTAGTTTATAGACATTTATTATTCATACTTCTTAACCAAACAAAAAGTCTGTTTTAAATATAACCTTGTTGCTTTTTTTATTTCAATATATAAAAACAGCGCTTTATACATTTTACTCTGTGAACGCCTACACTTTTCTTTTCAAAAATCACAAAGAAAGAAAAAAACATAAAAACTTAACACTTTTTTTAGTATTTTTTACAAAGTTTTATATTTTTTACATACTAATTAATGGAAATCAACAATTACCAGAATTTTTTTTTTATGATATAAAGTAGTTTGATGTTAGCAATTATGCATGTTTAAAGTTTGTCTTAAGTTTTAGGATTTTAATATCTTAGTCATTTATACCATTTCCATAGTATTTTTAATATGTCTGTTTTTAGGTTTCAAAAAGATTTTAATTTTTTAAAGACCAGTATGTCGGTCAGTATTAATTTAGAAAAAAAAGCATTTCGTTTTGCTCTGAAGTTTGAAGCTCTAGCATATTGATATATGAACAGTGTGTTAAAGACAATGATAGGATTCTAGTACTCCTTTGATAGTTTTGAACCACATTTTCTCAATTTTTTATCGTAATAGGAAAGGTTGTCTCAATCTAAGAGAGTTATGTTCTTATATCAAAATATTTGTATGAAAATGGAAATCTAGGAAAGAAATTAGAATTTGTTCGAAATTAATTAGTTCTAAAACGTATGCAAATGGGACAACTTCAGATTTTTGAACAGAAATCTTGCAATTACTTCTGGTAGCTGTACTGTGGAACATTGTTTTCATTACAAAGTACTTCGAAGGAATTATTAATGATCCAGTTACATATTAGTACTACACTAGAATAATGGGAAGCATACTAGTTTAAAAACAACTTCATGGGCATATTTGAGACTAGACTATAAGTAGAATGGACTAGACTATAGACTAGACAATAGAATAGACTATAGGCTAGACAATGGACTAAACTATAGACTAGACTATAGGCTAGACTTTAGACTGGACTATAGACTAGACTATAGACTAGACCATAGACAAGACTATAGACTAAACTATGGACTAGAATATAGACTAGAATATAGACTAGACTATAGACTAGACTATAGACTAGACTATAGACTGGACTATAGACTAGACTATAGACTAGACTATAGACTAGACTATAGACTAGACTATAGACTAGACTATAGACTAGACTATAGACTAGACTATAGACTAGACTATAGACTAGACTATAGACTAGACTATAGACTAGACTATAGACTAGACTATAGACTAGACTATAGACTAGACTATAGACTAGACTATAGACTAGACTATAGACTAGACTATAGACTAGACTATAGACTAGACTATAGACTAGACTATAGACTAGACTATAGACTAGACTAGACTATAGACTAGACTATAGACTAGACTATAGACTACACTATAGACTAGACTATAGACTAGACTATAGACTAGACTATAGACTAGACTATAGACTAGACTATATAGACTAGACTATAGACTAGACTATAGACTAGACTATAGACTAGACTATAGACTAGACTATAGACTAGACTATAGACTTGACTATAGACTAGACTATAGACTAGACTATAGACTAGACTATAGACTAGACTATAGACTAGACCAACGGTTCCCAAAAGGGGGTCCGCGGACCCCTAGTGGTCCGTAGCAAAATCCTAGGGGGTCCGCGAAGACGAACGAAAAAAATCACGAATAAAAAATATTATCTATATGTTAGAAAATATTAAAAATATCTCCAAATTTGTCATAAATACTAAAATACACAATTTTTATTCAATAATCCCAGATTTGTTGGTGACTCTTTGAATTTTATTGTTTCGGTCGTTTATCAGGATGAAGCTAGGCCTTACAAATTTATTGTTTCACTTTTATAAAGTAAAGTATTACGTGATTTGTAATTTTTATAAATGTATATGTATCGCAATAAATGTTTTTATAGCAGACGGATAATGATTTGCCTTAGAATTAAATACTGATACTGGTATCCCAGGTTAGGTCACATTTCATAATATTTTTTTAAATTGTAAGCAAAAGTGTTAATCTAGTTAATTTTAAATATAAATATTCCATTCCGACGTGATACACAGATTTTAACTTCATTTTGTTGTCCAATATTATTAAATCAACATCAGAAAATTCATAGCGTTTTGCGTAAATAGTCAAAACCACGCAGTAAAATAATTCGTAGGTATTTTAAAATTCAAAATTAAGATCCAAATTCACAGTACATTCGCAAAGAGTTCAGGTCATATTTTATGTGGGTAACGCATTCCGCAACAACATCGAAGAAGTCTAACTTTCACATATTTTCTCGAAAACTTAGCTTACATACTCAGCTCACTCCTATGCAATCGCAAAAAAATTTAGAAACATGACTCTTTAAGCACATGTCGACAATACTTGATAAAGAAACCTTTTCTATACCTTGACGAGAAATGAACATGAAAGCTCTCACGATCATAAAATTAAACATCATGTTAGAAGTCATTCTATATTTAAAACCATGCAATTGAAAACATCTCCGATCTCAATGTACGGGAATATTTTATAGGGTTTATGGACCAGGACTAAGACAATTTTCGGACGAACATTTGAAAATCGGATGAAAACTACTACTAAACTTATGATTTTTCAAATTTAAAACTTCAAAAATGGCTCTTTTTCGCATCTTTTGCTCTTAAAAAGTAAGTTAACGAAGTGATAGGGGAAAACTAAAAATATATTCGTACTCTATGGACTATAACGAAATAGAATTGGTATATGAGAACGACTGCATTTTATTTTTCTTCACTTTTGTATCACAGTGTTATTTATAACAATAAGATATCAAAATATGTATGGGGGTCCGTGAAATTAAATAAATTCCTCAAGGGGTCCGCGAAGTAAAAAACGGTGGGAACCGCTGGACTAGACTATAGACTAGACTAGACTATAGACTAGACTATAGACTAGACTATAGACTAGACTATAGACTAGACTATAGACTAGACTATAGACTAGACTATAGACTAGACTATAGACTAGACTATAGACTAGACTATAGACTAGACTATAGACTAGACTATAGACTAGACTATAGACTAGACTATAGACTAGACTATAGACTAGACTATAGACTAGACTATAGACTAGACTATAGACTAGACTATAGACTAGACTATAGACTAGACTATAGACTAGACTATAGACTAGACTATAGACTAGACTATAGACTAGACTATAGACTAGACTATAAACTAGACTATAGACTAGACTATAGGCTAGACTATAGACTAGACTATAGACTAGACTATAGACTAGACTATAGACTAGACTATTGACTAGACTATAGACTAGACTGTAGACTTGACTATATACTGGGCTATAGACTAGATTATAGACTACACTATAGACTACACTATAGACTACACTATAGATTACGACTATAATCTACACTATAGACTAACTATAGACTTCTCTATAGACTAGTTTATAGACTAGTTTAAAGACTAGTTTACAGACTAGACTATTAACTACACTATAGACTACACCATAGACTTGACTATAGACTAGACTGTAGACTAGACTATAGACAAAACTATAGACTAGGCTATATTCTACACTATAGACTGGACAATAAACTACACTATAGACTAGACTATAATGTGGACAATAGACTATACTATAGACTAGACTGTAGACTAAGCTATTTTAGTATAGTCTAGACTATATATGTATATTAAACTATAGACTAGACAACAGACTAGATTATAGACTAGACCAACAGTTCCCAAATTGGGGTCCGTGGACCCCTAGTGGTCCGTAGTAAAATCCTAGGGGGTCCGCGAAGACAAACGAAAAAATCCATGAATAAACAATATTCTGCTTTTATGCAATAATCCCAGATTTTTTGGTGACTTTTTGAATTTTTTTTTTTTTCGGTTGTTTATCAAGAAGAAGCTAGGCCCTAGGGATACTGGTATTCCGGAGTATGAAATAAGGCCACATTTCATAATTCAAAGACAAGCTTATACCAGATTTAAGTTTGTCAAATTGTAAGCAAAAGTGTTCTTGTTTGTAAGGACTAAAATTATATATTTCAAAAACAGCTTCAATACGTTAATTTAGTTAATTTTAAATATAAATATTCCCTTCCGACGTGATACAAAGATTTTAACTTGATTTTATCGACCAATATTATTAAATTAACATTAGAAAATCCATAGCGTTTCGCGTAAATATGTAGGTAAAGCCATGCAGTAAAAGAGTTCATGTCATATATTATGCGGATAACGCATTCCGCAACAACATGGAAGAAGTCCAACTTTCTTATATTATTTTCCCGAAAACTTAGCTTACTTTACCCCTCTGTAATCGCAATAAATTTTTGAAACGTGACTGCTTAAGCGCATGTCGACAATATTTGATAAAGAAACTTTTTTGATACCTTGACGAAAAATGAATATGAAAGATCTCACGATCATAACATTAAACATCATGTTAACAATTCAACAAAGAACTCTTTCTATCTTCAAAACCATGCAATTAAAAACCTATCGGGAATATTTTATAGATATGACATCTCTACATTTATTTGACCTAGGGATTTATGGACTAGGTCAATTTTCGGACGAACAATTATTTCGAACAATAAGATATCAAAATATGTATGGAGGTCCGCGAAATTAAATAAGTTCCTCAAGGGGTCCGCGAAGTAAAAACTGGTGGGAACCGATGGACTAGACAATAGACTAGACAATGGAATATATTATTGACTAGACTATAGACTAAACTACAGACTACTTATCAAAAGTTTATAAGTTAGAAAAAGTACCGAAAATGTCATTGGGGTACTGCGGTACTTTTCAATATCAAAAAGTACTAAAGTGCTGAATTTTTCATGCCTGAGTATTATGTATTATTTGTAAGAAATCTTTTAATAGAAAAATAAACATTAACTGTTTCACAAATTTCTCCCAATTTTAACAATTTCTAACAAAAAAACGAAAAAAGAACTAATTCCACAACTGCTCTAAAGTTCTGAAGTTCTCAAATTTGAACAAAAATCGTTGAATAAAGAAATAATATAGGCTAAATGTATACGTTCCAGAACTAATTGTGAAATTAATAAAAAAAATCTGAAAATTATAACATTTTTGGTTAAAAATTATAAAACA